ATCACATAAACAGAAAAGGCTGGAAGTGGTGCTGTGGCTCAAGAGGTAGAGTGTTAGTCTTGAGCAAAACAGTTCAGGAACATTGTTCAGGCCCTGAGTTCAAGCCCCAGGATTGGTAAAAACAAAAAAATTAAAAATATATCATTAAAAAGGCTTCATGTTGGACTGAAGAAGTAGCTTAACTGATAAAGTACTTGCCTATCATGCATGAGGTCCTGGGTTCAATCCTTATTACCACTTCTTACTCCCACCCCCTTACTCAAGGTTTTTATTATCACCCTTTTATGGTTACCACAATAAGCAATTTGTAATGGAAATTATAAATGGATATTATTTATTTTGGCATTAGTTGTTTTAGCTCTTTCAATCTTACTGATACACTCCCCAGAAATCCACAGTACAAATTCTCTAAGGCTTTCACACATTATTTATATTTCTTATTCATCCTTTGCCTCTATTGATTTTACATGTAGTAAGTCTGGGCTGGTTTTCCTAGTCCTATACTTCTTATTTTGTTTGTATTTCTTTTCTTAACTGTTTTTTGTTTGTTTGGTCTTTTCTTTTTTGGTATTGGGGAATGAACCCAGGATATTGCACTTGTTAGGAAAGTGCTTTGCTACTGAGCTACCTCCCAACCCTATACTTTTTATTTTAATATTCACCTACAATGCTAAATTCTCATTTTCTAATATTTCAGATACAAAATACTTTTTTTTGTTTTTACAGCTTTGTTTTTACAGCTTTTTGTTTTTACAGCTTTTGTTTTACAGCTTTTTGTTTTTACAGCTAAGAGATTCACATTAGCTACAAAATGTGAATACTCTATTTTTTTAGTGTAATGATATGTTTCAAATTTATTATTTTATAATAAAATAGGATTATTTCTCTTTTAAAAGTAAGGGGTTTTTTGGGGGGTGGGGGGAGGTACTACAGTTTGAACTCAGACTTATTCAGTTGTTGTTCTTTCCCCTGAAGTTTTACACATCTAGCCCTGTTAATTGCTGGTTATTTTGGAGATAAAGTATACTGAATTTTTCTGCTTGGGCTGGCCTCAAACTGCTATACTCTGAATTTATTCTCCTGAATAACTAGGATTACAGTGTCCAGCAAGGTAAAGACATTATTGTATTTTGTCACTGAGTAGTTGATGAGCACAGATATTATTATTACCACTATTATATATTAGTGTGTCTTTTTGTTTAGTTCATTTGATTGGTTGGTTTTGGTACTGGGGTTTGAACCTGAGGCCTTATACATGCTAAGCATATACTCCACAATGAGCTAGACCCAACCTGGTTACAGTATTTGTAAATTTCATTTCAGAATAGTTAATTACAAAATACAGAACAGAATCAATTAATTAGAGCTGAATCGATGATTTAAACCAAAATCTCAAACATGCTAATCATGTTTTCCACTGAGCATTCCAATACAATCATAGTATCTCTTTAAAAGAACAGCCATGGTAAAGCTTTACAAAAGGAAGTTTTCCCCAAGAGTAAGGACAATGTGTCACTTCAGAAAGAGACATGGTAAGTATCTTATCAAGATTCAGGGCTAGGCTGTCATAAGCACTAACAGAACACTAATAGAAAATTTCCAGGGTAAACAGTGGTATCACTGAAACAGTGGTATCACTGAAAAGTAACAAATATTTATTTATGATCACATGAGATTTTATAAAAGTGGCTGAATTACAGAATATATATAGCTTTTAAAGTAAGAAGGACAATGTTTGGTAGTGAAACAGCAAAAAAAAAAATACCTTACTGAAGCTGGACACAGGTGGCTCATGCCTGTAATCCTAGCTACTTAGGAAGCTGAGATCTGAGGATTGTTATTCCAAGCCAGCTGGGGCAGGAAAATCCATGAGGCTCATCTCCAATTAACTACCAAAAAACCAGAACTGATGCTGTGGCTCAAAGTAGTACAGCACTAGCCTTGAGTGAAAAAAGCTTAGGGACAGCACTCAGGCCCTGAGTTCAAGATCCATGACCAACCAAAAAATAATAATAATAATAATTTAAAAAAATAGTAACTTGCTGGGTGCTGGTGGCTCACACCTGTAATCCTAGCTACTCAGGAAGCTGAGATCGGAGAATTAAGCTTCAAAGCCAGCTAGGAAGTAAACTCTCTGAGACTCTTATCTCCAATTAACCACCAGAGAACTGGAAGTAGCACTGTGGCTCAAGTGGTAGAGCGGTCTCCTTGAGCTGAAGAACTAAGGGACAGTGCCCAGGTCCAGAGTTCAAGCCCCATGAACAACCAAAAAAAAAAAAAACTCACTGAATAGGACACTGAAAAAACTGCCCCCACCACCTTGCATTTACCAACAGCTTTCACAAGCAGTCAAAAATATCAGACCAATTTCCATAAGATAACTGATTTGAACATAGCTCAAAGGTCTCAGGAACCTATGAAATGGTGAGCCGAGTCATATGTTCCTTAAGTTCATATTTAAGGAAGACTCAGTTCAATCCAAGCTACGCTCCTTATGGCAGAAATAACAAAAAAAAATCTTTACAAAATGTTCTCAAATGGTTGGGTTTTCTTAAACATTCATATATTTATAGCTAAACAATTCAATTTCATGAATTTTACTGTTTTATAACTAAAATGAGTCTCTGTTTTAAAACATGATACTGACTACACTACGGTACTTGTGACCAATGTCCAAAAAACAATTAGGGGTCAGGATCACCTATAGTTATTTTCATAATGCTTTCCATTTATACCACTTCACTATTTCCTTGTCATTGACCTGAATGTCTTTTAAAGTTTACCATTTTCAGCCACTTTCTAAATTTCTATGGAAAAAAATACAGATTGCTGATCTATGTGAATAAAGACTGGGGATTAAGCATATATTAAATACACTGAACTAGGAAAATTACACAAGTAATGTAGCAATGTCTCTAAGACACATAGAAAAACTACACAAATAAGTCTTTAAAGATTTAATTTAGCCAGGCAGTGGTGGCTCATGCCTGTAATCCTAGCTACTCAGGAGGCTGAGATCTGAGGATGGCAGTTCAAAGCCAGCCCAGGCAGAAAAGTCCATGAGACTATTATCTCCAATAAGCCACTAGAAAACCGGAAGTGGAGCTATGGCTCAAGCGGTAGAGCACTTAAGCAGAAGAGCTGAGGGATAGCGCCCAAGCCCAGAGTTCAAGCCCCATGACCGACCAAAAAAAAAAACAAAACATTTCATTTATAAAAGTAAAAGAGAAATTAATACAGGCATATGAAATAGCTCTCTTTGGGGGAAGGGGTTAACATTGTCCAAAAAGAAATGTACTCATTACCTGACTTATGTAACTATAACCCCTCTGTAAATCACCTTTATAGTAATAAAAAAAAAAAACAGCATTCTTTGGAGCCAGGTGCTGGTAGTTCACGCCTGTAATCCTAGCAACTACAGAAGGTGAGATCTGAGGATCGCAGCTCAAAGCCAGCCCAGGCAGCAAAGTCTGTGATACTCTTTATCTCCAATAAACCACCAGAAAACCAGAACTGGTGCTGTGGCTCAAGTGGTAGAGCCCTAGCCTTGAGCTGAAGGACAGTGCCCAGGCCCACAGTTCAAGACCCACAACCAACAAAAAAAAGAGGGGGCAGGGGCCTGGGAAGGTGGCTCAGTGGTAGAGTGCTTGCCTTGCATGCATGAGGCCCTGGGTCCGATTCCTCAGCACCATATAAGCAGAAAATGCCAGAAGTGGTGCTGTGGCTCAAGTGGTAGAGGGCTAGCCTTGAGCTGAAGAGCTCAGGGAAAGCACCCAGGCCCAAAGTACAGGGTCCATGACCAACCCCCCCCCAAAAAAAAAAGAAAAAAAAGAAAAGAAAAGAAAAAGCATTCTTTGGGAGATCACATTTGATCTAAGACAGAAAGCTGAGACGAAATCTTCTTCAATACATAGGTATATGAAAAATGACTAGACATTGAGGAAACAACTTTGAAATTGAAAAGAAATTACTAAAACTAAGCCTTAATCATACATTTAGTAAGAGCATTTTTAGGCCAAACTGTAGGGGGTGATGGGAAAGGGGAATAGAAAAATGGAGAAGAAGGTACACAATATGTGTACATTATGCACATATAGGAAAACTTGAACAAATAGGTAAGAATGGGATAAATGAGACGTGACACTGATCAATGTGCAATTGTACATATAAATGGACATGTTAAATTGAAACCCCTTTTATAATAACCTAATAAGAACAAAAATTAAAACAAAAACACCTAGCTTACTAAGCTATACACAGAACCCTGTTAACAAAGGAAAATGATACTTAACAATCAAGTCTGAAATCACTATTAAAATAAAAAGGCAGATGACCACAGTGCACTTTATATATTTAAAATTAAACTCCAAACACTAAAATGAAAGGCACTGAAAAGCCAGGATGTATATGCAAAAAGCCAATAATAATGAGCAAGGTATTCATAAGTCTAAACATTACTAGCAAATGGCATAAACTAAGGAACGCACATTTATGTAGTTTGTGCTCCCAAAACAGTCAATCTCTGAAAGATACTTCTTTAACTGTTAGAGTATGTCTTCTGGTATATGGATACTCCCTGAGTAATATATAAGGCTCCTTTTCTGAGATATTTACTTTACTTGAAGAATTAAAGTGCAAAATAAATTATGAAGAATGCCAAATATAGTTTACTTCTGCATCTGATCTTAGTCAAAAGTCCATGAAGAGATAAATGTGGATTATTTCTAATGACAGAAATTAAAGTTCAGGAATAAAAAAATCTCTTGCTTTGTCAGTAGAGTGACACCTGTTACAGACATGTTGGAAAAGTTTTGAAAAGTATACCTTTTAGATAGCTTCAAGAGGGTAATGTACTGTCTTTAGGAGTCTAGTTACATAGAAATGAGCATATTAAAATGTGTCTTCACTTGCTTATTTCAAACATCTCAATATTCTTCCATCATGATCAATCCTTTTAAAGCCCTCTCTTCCCAAAGAAGTACTTTAACAGAAACACTTACTTAGGAAACCAATTTAATCCCAGGTGCTCTGTCTTGGAATATAATATTCTTTCTACCATGTCATAAAGTGGTCTCCAAGGTAACTCCAAATCATCTCTTGAAAGAAGCTCCTTTTTCCTAAATTAAAAAACAAAAAACAAAAAACCTGGAAATGACACAGAGCTCAGGGATAGCGCCCAGGCTGAGTTCAAGCCCCATGACTAAAGAAAAACAAAAACCTAATTAATGGGGAAGAAGGAGGAAAAAAAAAGCCAGATTCACATCTGTAATCCTAGCTACACAGGAGGCTGAGATCTAAGGATTATAATTATGGTTCAAAACCAGTCCAGGCAGGAAAGTGAGACTCTTTTTTTATTTTTTATTTTTTTTGGGGGGGGTCTGTTCGTGGGGCCTGAACTCTGGGCCTGGGCGCTGTCCCTCAGCTCTTCAGCTCAAGGCTAGCTCTCTACCACCTGAGCCACAGCGCCACTTCCGGCTTTTTTCTTTTTGCTTATGTGGTGCTGAGGAATCAAACCCAGGGCGCCTCAAGCATGCAAGGCAAGCGCTCTACCACTGAGCCACCTTCCCAGTCCTGGAAAGTGAGACTCTTATCTCCAACTAACCACCAGAAAACCAGAAGTGGAGCTGTAGCTCAAAGTGGGAGAATGCTAGCCTTAAATGGAAAAGGCTCAGGGACAGCACTTAGGCCCCAAGTTTAAGCCTCATGACTGACAAAAAAAATTTTTTTAATAAAAATAAAGTAAAGGGGCTGGGAATGTGGCTTAGGTAGAGTGCTTGCCTAGCATGCATGAAGCTCTGGGTTCCATTCATCAGTACTACATAAACAGAAAAGGTAGGAGATGGTGCTGTTGTGGCTCAAGTGGTAGATGCTAGCCTTGAGCAAAAAGCAGCTCAGGAACAGTGCCCAGGCCCTGAATTCAAGCCCCAGGACCAGCACAATAAATAAGTAAATAAATAAATAAATGTAGAGAAGACATGTCACCATTATTGTAGTTCAATGTCATACTTTTTCTACTTTACTTCTAGAGTATAATCTTTTCAAGAGTGTGTTGGCTGCTTTTGGATAAGCAAAAGAATATGACACCTGTCTTTTCAAGGTACTTGATACGGGGAAATCATTAACATAAACATAACAATGAGGGCCAGGTATCTGCAGTTCATGCCTATAATCCTAGCTACTCAGGAAGCTGAGCTTCAGTAGAAAAGTACATGAGATTCTCTTTAATTACCACTAAAAAGTCAGAAGTGGAGCTGTGACTCAAGTGGTAGGGCATTAGTCTTAAGCACAAAAGCTCAGAGACAGTATCCAGGCCGGGGATCTAAGACCAAGAACTGGCATACAAAAAATAATCAGACAACATACGGTAAGTTGTGTGCTATAAAAGAGAAGTCATCATAAAGGAACTGGCAAACTGTTTTGTTTTGTTGGAAGTACGGGATTTGAACTCAGGGCCTTATGCTTTGCTAGCAGGTTCTCTACCACTTTACTCATCATTTCTACCCCTTTCTATTTTACATACTTTTTTCAGACAGGTTTTCATTTTTTGCCTAGATCAGCATACATTGTTATTATTTATTTACACTTTCCTTATAGCTGGAGTGACAAAGATGCGTCATCCTATCCATGTTTTTATTGACTGAGAGGAAGTCTCACAAACTTTTTGCTCAAGCTGGCCTCACACCACAATCCTAACTCTTCCTCTTGAGTAGCTAAAATTACAGGCATGAGACACTGTACCTGGCTTGCTTTGTTGTTTTTTTTTTTTTTTTTGGTTTGTTTTGTACTGGGACTTGAATTCAGAACCTCGTGCTCTTGTTCAGCATCTTTGCTAACACTTGAGACATGCATCCAGTTCCAACTTTTTTGCTGGTTAATTGGAGATAACAGGCTCAACAATTTGTCTACCCCACTAGCTTTCTACTGGAATCCTTAGATCAGTCTCTCTCAAGTATCAAGGATTACAGGTGTGAGCCATAGGCCCCTGGATTGATTTGTTTGTTGGTGGTGGTGGTGGTCGTGGTCGTGGGACATGAACTCTGCGTCTGGGTGCTATCTCTCAGATCTTCAGCTCAAGATTAGCACTCTGTGCCATTTCCAGTTCTCTGAGGGTTTATTAGAGATAAGTGTCTCATGGACTTTGCTACCCAGGCTGGCTTTGAGCCACAATCATCCAGATCGCAGCCTCCTGAGTAGCTAGGATTACAGATGTGAGCCACCAGCACCTGGCCTTGATTTGTTTTTTGACACACTTATTATGTAGCCTAAGCTGGCCTTGAACTTCCTATGGAGGCCCAGGTTGACCTCAAACTTGAGATCCTCCTGCCTTGGCCTCTATAATCCTGGGATTATACAGGAATGTGCCACAATATCCAGCTGGAATTTTATTTTCAGCTGAAAACCTTTAATTAAAATACACAATTAAATTTATGATGATTATGTGATCTATCCCTAATTGGTTCTCCCTAAAACCTTAAAATAAGGTTTTCTTACCAGAAATTACAGAAAATGGACTTACTTTAATAAATTGATCAAGAGACGGGCAAATCCCTGCATCATGCTGATTTCCAGTTTTGGAATTGATACCAGCTCATACAATAACTTAATAAAAAGAACATGATCTTCTTTGCTAAATTTTCTCCCATAAAGTCGAATATACCTGTAGAGAAAAATAGACAAAGCTTTTCAAAATTATGTTCTTTGCTGTATTATACTAATGTTCACAAAGAAATAACAACAATGGATCAATCAACCTTAGAAAAGAGGGCAATCCTGTCATGCTCAACACGTGGAAAAATCTTAAATAAAAAGTTATGACAATTACAAATGGAGAAATTCTATCAGTTCCTTTTTAGTGTGTGTGTCCGTGTGTGTCCGTGTGTGTCCGTGTGTGTGTGTGTGTGTGTGTCAGTTCCTTTTTAGTGTGTGTGTCCGTGTGTGTGTCCATGTGTGTGTCCGTGTGTGTGTCCGTGTGTCCGTGTGTCCGTGTGTGTGTGTGTGTGTGTGTGTGTGTGTGTGTGTGTGTGTGTGTGTCCGTCCTGGAGCTTGAACTCAGGGCCTGGACACTGTCCCTGATATTTTTGCTCTAAACTACAGCTTTCTACCACCAGTACCCAGCAACAGTTCCATGTACATGTGGTATCTAAAACAACCACGCTCAGAAACACAAAGAATGAGGTTTGCTAACTATTGAAAGGAAAGGAAAACTGGGGACTGCTATTACTGGAATAGCGTTTGAGCCATAAAAGGTGAGAAAGAGTTTCAAAATCCGCTTATACCAGGTGCCAATGGCATAATCCTAGCAACTCAGAAGGCTGAGATCTGAGTCCAGCCCAGACAGCAAAGTCCTTGAATCTCTTATCTATAAGAATTACAAAAAAGCCAGAAGTGGAGCTATGGCTCAAGTAGCAGAGCACTAGCCTTGAGCAAAAACTCTCAAGCACAGAGCCTAGTACCTGAATTCAAGTCCCAGGTCTGGCACAAAGAAAAAACCAAACATAAGCCGGGCGCCGGTGGCTCACGCCTGTAATCCTAGCTACTCAGGAGGCTGAGATCTGAGAATTGCGGTTCAAAGCCAGCCCGGGCAGGAAAGACCGTAAGACTCCTATCTCCAATAAACCACTAGAAAACCGGAAGTGGTGCTGTAGCTCAAGTGGTAGAGCGCTTGCCTTGAGCTGAAGAGCTGAGGGACAGCGCCCAGGCCCAGAGTTCAAGCCCCATGACCGACAAAAAAAGAAAAAAGAAAAACCAAACATGAAAAAGAATCCATTTACAACGTGCATATAGTTAATCCTTTACACTTAAAATGTCTTAAGAGGGTAACTTTATGATGTACACACACAAAATATTAAATACTTTTTATTTATATCTCTCATGTTAAGAATTTTATTTTATTTTTTGGGGGTCTGGTCGTGGGGCCTGAACTCTGGGCCTGGGAACTGTCTCTCAGCTCTTCAGCTCAAGGCGAGCGCTCTACCACTTGAGCCACAATGCCACTTCCGGCTTTTTTTCTTTTTGCTTATGTGTGGTGCTGAGGAATCAAACCGAGGGCCTCAGGCATGCAAGGCAAGCGCTCTACCACTGAGCCACCTTCCCAGCCCTTGATGTTAAGAATTTTACACCACGGCTGGGAAGGTAGATTAGTGGTAGATTGCCTGCCTAGCATGCATGAATCCTGGGTTTGATTCCTCAGACATGCTGTGGCCCAATTGGTAGAATGCTAGCCTTGAGCAAAAGAAGCTCAGGACTGTGCCCAGGCCCTGAGTTCATATCCCCAAGACTGTCCCCCCAGCCCCGCACCGGAAAAAAAAAAAAAAAAGGAATGTTATATTTAAGAAATAAGAGTTGTGGGCTGGGAAGGTGGCTCAGTGGTAGAGCGCTTGCCTTGCATGCTTGAGGCCCTGGGTTTGATTCCTCAGCACCACATAAGCAAAAAGAAAAAAGCCGGAAGTGGTGCTGTAGCTCAAGTGGTAGAGTGCTAGCCTTGAACTGAAGAGCTGAGGGACAGCGCCCAGGCCCAGAGTTCAGGCCCATGACCAGACCCATAAACAAACAAACAAACAAACAAGAAATAAGGGTTGTGGGGCTGGGAAGGTGGCAGGGCTGGCAAAGATTCTCAGATCTCAGCCTCCTGAATAGCTAGGAATAGCTTGAGCCACTAGTGCCTGGCTCATAGAGAATTTTTATTATTTTCATCTTAACAGCAAAGAATCACTGTAAACTTTAATCAAGAGATTACCAAGTATGTAATTTAGTAATAAAGGACATAATGGCAACTGATTTCTCATCAACATGTAATGCTCAATCAAAACACTACTATCTCATCACAGTCTCAACTGGCCTCTATCAGTAACCTGAAATGAGCTTCCTTTGTATCTTTCCTTTGTTAAGCAAATAATCTGAAATATTTTATTTAAATTTTTTGAAGTTGCTTAAAGGCATCATACCACATCTCAATTAGAAGTAAACAGAATAAGAGAACAAACATAGGTTACTGTACTAATTTCAAATTTTATTAAGAAATAGATATGGATGTATATCTGATCATGTAAAGTATTTGTTGAAATGAACTCCAGCAAATGGAAATGAGGTTTCTCTAGGTTGCTTTCTTTTCTTTTGGTCTTTTTGTTCATTTATCTGTCTTTGGGAGAGTAAAGAGGGCACAAAAATGAAGGAACCAAAGCAGAACAAATGCAGCAGTGGAACTCACTAGACACTATGTTGAAAATAAACTATATAAGCCGGGCGCTGGTGGCTCACGCCTGTAATCCTAGCTACTCAGGAGGCTGAGATCTGAGGATCACGGTTCAAAGCCAGCCCAGGCAGCAAAGTCTGTGATACTCTTTATCTCCAATAAACCACCAAAATGCCAGAAGTGGTGCTGTGGCTCAAGTGGTAGTGCGCTCGCCTTGAACTGAAGAGCTGAGGGACAGCGCCCAGGCCCAGAGTTCAAGCCCCATGACCGACAAAAAAAAAACAAACAAACTATATAACTTGTGGGTGGGGACAGGACAGAAAAACTGGGAGAGGGAGAGAGAAGGGGTGATACTGTCCAAAAAGAAATGCACTAATTACCGGACTTAAGTAACTATAACCCCTCTGTGTATATCACCCCCTTTATAATAAAAAATAAAAAATCCAAAATGTAAAAATGACTAATCACAGTATATTTAGGAATTCAGAGGTAAGAACTCCAAATTTACTTAGGATAAATTCCAGTCCACCTAAAATCATAAGCCACTTTGATGAGTATCTTTTTGCAGACAAATATCTAAGTCAACAGAAAAGAGAGCATTATCATTACTTATATGATCTTTAGAACTCCCCAACAGCTAAAAATCAAATTAAATTTACACTTAACCTCCTTAAGCTCCTAAATTATGGCACCGAAGTGCTTTGCAACCTTCCAGAAAGAAATGCTGCAAATTATTAGTCCACTAAGAGCATCTTTTTCTCTCCCCTCCCCCACCAAGCTACTATGAAGACAATGTAGGATATATAAAAATCCTAAAACCATACACCTTCTAGCACTAAGGAAACTTTAAGCACCTAGCCTGGATTACATTAGTGAGGTGAGAGCTGATAACAAAAAACCCAGACCACTGGTCCCAGTAGTTCAAGCCCATACAGCAGTTACTCAGGAAGCTGAAATGTATTTGGAGCCTGCCCCTGCTGATCTCCAATTAACCACCAAAAAGAGAAAATGGAGTTATGGCTCAAGAGGTAAGTGGAGTTATAGCTCAAGAGGTAGAGTGCTAGCCTGTAATCCTAGCTACTCAGAAGGCTGGGATCTGAGAATCGAGGTTCTAAGTCAACCTGGGCAGAAAAGTCCTCGAGATTCTTATCTCCAATTACCCACCAGAAAGCCAGAAATGGCACTGTGGCTCAAGTGGCAGAGCACTAGCCTTGAGCAAAAGAGCTCAAGGACAGCGCCCAGGCCCTGAGTTCAAGCTCCACCAACCAACAACAACAACAAAAAAAACGGGCTGGAGATGTGGCTCAAGTAGTAGAGATCACCAGCTGAGCAAGCAAGCAAGCCAGGTAATACCTCAAAGCATTCAATGAGTTTTAAATCCTAGTACTACTAAAAAGGAGAGGGGGAGATTTACAGATACAATACACACACATTACATACATACACATACAAATAGTCAACACTGAAATATTTCCTCTGGGTATATTTCATTTTTACCTTTTTCTATCTATCTTTTAGTTCATTGAAAAATTTCTAAATACTTTTATAATTAAAATTAACTAAGAATGAACTATAAAACAAAAAGGTATTTCAGGAAAGGCAGAACTAAAAGCTTGGTGTAGATATAATAACTAAAACATCTGAAACAACTTTTAAAATTTTGATTTGGATTAAATTTTACATCTGTAGAACGTTGGGCTGGGTTAGGCCTCCTCAGTAATGAGGATTACAGGCAGGAGCCACCCAGTCAGTGCCTGGCATTATTACAAATTTACAGCTCAGCAAGATGCCTGTACCTGTAATCCTTCCCAGTTACTAAGAAAATAAGAGGCAAGTAGATTTCAAGTCCTGCCCAAGGAAAGTTGGCGATAGTGTATCTCAAAATCAAAATACCATCTGAGCCCCAGAGGCTCAGCCTATAATCCCAGGAGGTAGAGAGAGACAAAAGGATCTCAAGTTCAAGGCCAGCTGACTACAAATTGCAGGTTATTCTGAGTTATTTGGCAAGCTCCTATCTCAAAAGAGGTGTAGCTAGAGGCATGGCACAGAGAGCTTGCCTAATGTAGGAGGCTATGTATTCAAGCCCCAATGCCTCAAGGGGGGAAAAATATGTGTTACCATTTATAGGTGACATTTTACTAATTAAGGTTTCTGGAAGTAATCTACCTTCCCTTAGAATACAAACTATCCCAACTAAAAGCTTCAGGAAGCCAGGGAAGCCAGGCGCCGGTAGCTCACGCCTGTAATCCTAGCTACTGAGGAAGCTCAGATCTGTGGATCACGGTTCAAAGCCAGCCCAGGCAGTAAAGTCCCTGAAACTCTTATCTCCAATAAACCACCAGAAAACCGGAAGTGGCCCTGAGGCTCAAGCAGTTGAGCGCTCGCCTTGAGCTGAAAAGTGCAGGGACTGAGACCAAGCCCCATGACCGACCCCCCCCCCAAAAAGGATTCAGGATCCTGGCAGG